TTGGGGTACAAATGCCTAACCCTAACTGTTTGTACCCCATACAGCACGGCCCATTAGAGGCTATAACATTTGACATTTTGTTACACGTTCCAGTCAGCGTTGGCTGAAAAGTACCGTATGGCACCGGATAATAGCGCATGTGCGCTTATAATCAAATCATTTTTTGAAGGGGCCAATTCTAAATGAGTTTTGTCCATAAGCGTCGGCGCTTATATTATGACAAATGCAAAAATATGAACTTAGAGCACCCGATTGTACATTTTCTTTTTGCCACTTCAGCCGAGGCGAAATGTTTCTGCGTCATAAAGCAGAACCGCGCGCAAGTGATATTTTGCCAACACACAGAGGCAATGACATATCATACCAACACATCCTTGTCAAAATATGTTGCCCATATTTCATATAATTATCTGTAGTGTTAGTGTAACTGCCTCATGTTTGGTGGTGCTGCACCACATTGACTTGCTTATCCTATTTGTATTTGTCTTTCCATAGTGAACATCCTCCTTTGCTTGAACTCCTCTCCCTTACCTAGCCTAAACCTTAGGCTAGTGGCTCTAGCCATACCTACTATTTTGACATGCTATTAGAGAGGTTTCTCCTAGGACCTGTCTCATAGGACCCACCACTACGCTTCCGCTCATGGGCCTCTCTGCCGCCCGTCGCGTGCCCGGGGCGCGCGTTGGTTTTCTGCCTGCCGCGCACCCCGGACGCGCGTCGGTTTTCTGCCCGCCGCGTGCCCCGGGCGCGCGTCGATTTTCTGCTCGTCGCGCGCCCTGGGCGTGCGGCGACCGTCGCACGCCCGGGTGCGCGACGGTTTCTGCCCGCCAGCGCGTCCTGCTGTCGCCCGCGCACCTCCTACCCCGCCCCCCCGCTCCCCCTTCCCCTTCATCTCCCTGCTGCGCGTGCGGCAGTGGGGGGGAGGGTATGGGGGTGGCAGGTGCGAGTGAACTGCTGCCGCCCCTCCTCCTCTCTCTCCCATTGCCGCACTTGCCGCTGGGGGGGGGGGGGGGGGGAGGGGGTGGGGGAAACGAGGGAGTGGTGTGGGGAGCTGAGGGAGTGGCGTTAGAGATGAAGAAGGGGATGTGGAAAGGGAGTGTGGAACAATGGGGGGAGAATGACCGGAGGTAGCCGCCTTGAAGCCAGCAGCGCCTGTAGTCCGGATGCCCTTGCTCCGGTAGCAGTGAGCCCGTTGCTCCTGTCGCCCGTGGGTCAGTTGCTCCAGCCGCTCGTCTAGCCGCGGAGCCAGTTACTCCAGTAGTCCGGATGCCCTTGCTCCGGTAGCCTATGTGCCAGTTGCTCCAGTCGCCCGTGTGCCAGCAGCTTCAGCTGCCACCTCCTACCTCCTCTCCTCACATGGTCCCTCCTCCTCTTTGCTTGCCCCCCTTCTTCTGCTACACACTGCATGGTGTACCCCTTCAGGGGGCGTTGCTACACTTATCCATGCAAACTTTTATGGGGGCGTGTCAAAATATGTTGCCCATATTTCATATAATTGTCTGTAGTGTTAGTGTAGCTGCCTCATGTTTGGTGGTGGTGCACCACATTGTCTTGCTCGTCCTATTTGTACTTGGCTTTCCATAGTGAACATCCTCCTTTGCTTGAACTCCTCTCCCTTACCTAGCCTAAACCCTAGGCTAGTGGCTCTAGCCATACCTACTATTTTGACAATCCTGACTGGACGCGCAACCAGTCAGGTCTTTGCGAGTCAAACGAAGCGAAATCGAAAAAAAAAAAGCTCTCTGCAAGAAAGAATCTCGTTACCGTTCTACAAATGATTTAAAATTAAAACTGTACGGTACATGCGCTTATAATAAGTGAAGGGTTTACAGGGGGGCGCTTATAATCGAATTTCGGCCATAATCGTCATGCTCCAGATATAAGCGCCAGCGCCTTTGATCGGACGGCGCCTATATCCGGGGCAATACGGTATACTTTTACCGAATCCTTGTTTCTGGAGTTTCTCCTGTAACTGTACTCAGAACAAAGCATTCCTCCCATCGACCACCTGTGCTGTCAAGGTTGACGGTTTTGTTTTTTCTTGCTGGCTTTCCCATTCGAACTGGCGGCATCTTTGGCTGCTAGCACTTTATTGTCTTGTTGCACTTGGACGTGCCTGCCTGCCTGTGGCTCCTCTGTCAAAACATATGTGTTCAATGGTGTCTAGACTATATAGGGGCTAGCCTTAGGGGGTACACAATTCACCTCGACTCTCTTGCTTGTACCCCCATTCCTCACCTAATCACATCATTCCCGTTTTACCTAGTTCTCACATGGTATAGAGCATGTTGCTCCTTATGACATAGGCCCACCGTTAGTTACTCTACTTCCACTGCTCGAACCACGCCCTAGGACGCGTCGTTTATTCCCTGCCCGAATCGCGCCCTAGGTGCATCGTTTTTCCTGCCCGAATTGCGCCCCTCGAAACGTCAGTTCCCTGCCCGTCACGCGCTCCTATTGCGCCCGCCCGTCTGCAGCCCGCGCGCCTGTACACCCTGCAGCTCTACAGCCCGCGCGCCGCCCTGCCTTGCAGCCTGCGGGCTGCCCTGCTCTGCAGCCGGCGCGCCGCGCTGCCCCGCACGCCAGCGCGCTGCCCTGCCCTGCACACCTACGCGCTGCCCTGCCCCGCACGTCAGCGCGCTGCCCTGCCCTGCACGCATGCGCACTGCCCTACCCAGCGTCCCGCCGCGCAGCCGTGTCCCGCACGCCAGCGCCCTGCCCTGCCCCGCACACCAGCGCGCTGCCCTGCCCTGCACGCCTACGCGCTGCCCTGCCCCGCACGCCTGCACGCTGCCCTGCCCAGCGCCCCGCCGTGCTGCGCTGCCCTACGTCAGCGGCAGCCGAGCGTGCAGGAGTCTCTCTCGCCGCAGCAGCTTCGCGAGTGGGCAATCTGGTAGGGCAGCCCCGGTGGCGGAGCTAGCCGTGCTCGTCGGTGGAAGCCGCTTTCGCCACAGCAGCGTAGTGAGTGGGCTGTCCGGTGGGGCAGCCCCGGTGGCGGAGCCTGGGGTGCTACTACTAGAGGTACCCGTGAGTCTACTCCTGCTGGTAGTGCCGCTGGTAGACGCGGAGGTTCTGAAGGTGGACAGCAGCAGCAGCAGCGTCTGCCGAAGACTCTCTCCCCGTAGCAGCTTCGTGAGTGGGCTGTCCGGTGGGGCAGCCCCGGTGGCGGAGGGTTTCGCAGTACTCGTACTAGGGGTGTAGGGTTTCACAGCGCAGACGCCTGGCAGACTCCACGCCAGCGACTGCGCCCACCAGCCACGTCGACCTCGAGACACCACCTCCGAGGTCGGCCTCGCAGACTCCACCCCGGCGACACTCGCGCACGTCGCCCGGGTATCCCGGTCGACCGGGCAACCACGCCTGGTCGACCAGCGCAGTCCGTAGCCGGCCGTGCATACGCCCAGGGCGGCGTCCCAGGCTCCTAGGACGCCGTGCAGACGCCTAGGTCGGCGTCTGGCCTTCGAGGACGCCAACCAGGCGTCCAGGACGGCGTCATCCTGCCCGCCGCCCTTCAACCAGGCGCCCTCCAGCTCGGCGCCCTCCAGCTCGGCGCCCTTGCAGTGGCCCCCGTGCCCACTGCTGCAGGTCGGCTGCAATCCCCGCACATCCAACCACGAGGTCGGCTCCGCACAAGCGAGGACGGGGCCTAACAACACTCCCGTTGACAGGTGTGTCTCAGGTAGATCCACCCCCCTTGGTTGAGCCTTTGGAGGTCTCCTCTGACACCTCTGGCCTAGCTGAGGGGGGTGACCCGAATGGTGCCAACACCGTGGCCCCTCGCCGCTCCGCTCACCCGGCTGTCCCTCCCGGTTTTCCGCCTCGACCGTCTTCACCACCTTTGCAGCCCGTCGCTGTGGATTATGGTGCTGCTGGAGGTGGCGACACTGGGGTGCGGACTCTGGGGGTGCTAGCTCTAGGGGTGCTGAGTATCCTACGGGTACAGGAGCTGTTGGGGGTGCTGCGGTTGGAGGTGCTGGTGGTGCTGGCGCACGTCGGCAGAAGACGACTGTTCGGTGGGACTCACCGGAGCGGCTTCGCGAGTGGGCAGCCCCGGTGGCGGCGCTGGATGTGCTGGAGCCGGGAGTTCTGGAGGTACATGACCTAGAGGTGCTAATGCTGGTGTTCCTGGAGTTGGCGGTGCTACTGCTGGAGGTACTGGAGGTACTGGTGCTGTGGGTGCTGTTGCGAATAGTCCTGGTTCTCTTTGGCAGAAGCCTCTCTCGCTGGAGCGGCTTCGAGAGTGGGCTGTCCGTTGGGGCAGCCTCGGTGGCGGGGCTGTACGTGCTGGAGCTGGAGCTACTGGAGGTACTGGCCCTGGAGGTGCTAGTCCTGGTGTTCCTGGAGTTGGAGGTACCGGAAGTGCTGACACTGGAGTTGCTACTGGAGGTACTGGAGCTGGTGGTGCTAGTCGGTAGGAGTCGCTCTTGCCGCAGCAACTCCGTGAGTAGGCTGTCCGTTGGGGCAGTCTTGGTGGTGGAGCTGGAGGTGCAGGCTCTGGGGGTGCTGTTGCTACTGGAGCTGGAGTTTCTGAGGGCGCAACTACTCAGTCGCAATTGTCTGCGCTTAGTCACCTTCTCAGCAGTCTCCCGCCTACTGTTACTGAATTCTCTGTTGTCAAAATAGATTTATATCAATCTAGTATAACCTGCCTGTAGTGTAGCTGTTGTGCAATTCCTTTGTATGGTGGTCCACCTCTTTCACCTTAGTTAGTTTGCTATATGTACCTTGTGTGCTATAGTGAAATCACCCATTCTTCAATCCTCCTTGGCACAAACTACTCGACACCCGCTTGGCCTAGGGTATGAAGCCTAGGCCCCTAGTTAAACCTGGTTCCTAGTTAACTTAGTATTGTAACATGGTATCAGAGCTAGGTCGTTCCCGACCTATTTTTAAAGGGCCCACCGTTAACCTTTACGATGGCGCGTCCAGTTAAGCAGCAAATCGCGGCCCCGTTCGTCATTTCCCGTCGCTCGCCCATAGCAAAATTCGTCACGGTAGGCATGACGGACGCTACGGTCGCGGCGGGAGTGACGGCGATCGTCGACCCGCTGCTTCGCGCCATCGCTCTCGCCCCCGTCGACCCCGCGCACTACTCGCTACTGCAGCTCGCCACCCGCGCGATTTCCGCTGCTGCAGCCCGTCGCCCGTCCCGTCGCGCTGCCGCCCGTCACCAGATCCCCGCCACCCGTACGCACTCCGCTGCCCGTCGCCAGGTCCCCGCCCGCCCTCCCGTCGACTTCGCAACAGCTGTGAAGGGAGTGGCGGGAGTGGCGAGAGTGGTGGGAGTGGCGGGAGAAGCTGCTGCTACGCCATTGCACGCGCCAGATCGTCCGCGACCTGCACCCCACGCCCCGCCCGTCGCCCGTACGCCACCCGCACCCCGCACCCCGCCCGCCGCCCGTGCGCCACCCGCACCCCGCACCGCGCCCGTCGCCCGTACGCCATCCGCACCACGCACGACGTCTGTGCCCCCATCCGCGAGACCCGTCCGCACCCCGTACCTGCACCCAGACCGCCATTCTGCCCCAGATCCCGCCTCCCCCCCACCGACAACTGCCACCCCACCCCCATCTCCGACTCCGTTTCCAGCGGGAAGGGGAGGAGGTGTGGTGTCGGCCCGAAGGGGACGGCTGGGGGAGGGGGAGTGGCGGGGTTGGCAGCTCATGTAAGGGGGAGGTTGAGGGGGTGGGTGTTCCATCTGCAGCTACTGTGGCCACACCTCCCCCACTCTCTCTGCTGCTGCTGCTGCTGCTGCTGTGGGAGAGGAGGTTCAAGGGGTGTGGGTGGTGAATCATCTCCTACCGTGCACCTCCCGTGCTCCCATGATCCAGTGCTACTCATGCTTCTTGTGCTTCTGCCCGTGCTGCCCCGTGTTCCCCGTGCTTGCCCCGTGCCCATGCCCGTGCTGTCCGCTCGTGTTCCACGTGCCCGTGCTGTCCGTACCTGGTTGTGCCCCACCAGTCTCACCCGAGCTGTCCGTACCCGGTTGTGCCCCACCCGTTTCACCCGTGCGTCCCGTGCTCCTGTGCTGCCCCCGTGCTCCCGTGCTGCCCACGTGTTCCTGTGCTGCCCCCGTGTTCCCATGCTGCCCCCGTGCTGCCCCAATGCTGCCCCTGTGCTCCCGTGCTGCCCCCGTGTTCCCATGCTGCCCCCGTGCTCCCGTGCTACCCCGCTCTCCCCGTGCTGCCCCGTTCTGCCTGTGTCCGTGCCCGTTTCCGTGCCGTGTTGCCCCGTTCAGCCCTTGTCCTGCCCCATTCTGCCTGTGCTGCCCCATTGCCCCCGTGTTGCCCCGTTCAGCCCGTGTCCTGCCCCGTTCAGCCCGTGTCCTGCCCCATTCTGCCCGTGTTGCCCCGTTCAGCCCGTGTCCTGCCCCGTTCTGCCCGTGTTGCCCCGTTCTGCCCATGCTGCCCCGTTCTGCCCGTTTGTGCCCTACCCGTGCTGTCCGTACCCGTTCGTGCCCCACCTGTGCTGTCAGTTCTCGCTCGTGCCCCACCCGGTCTGTGCTGCCCGGTCTCGTGCTGCCCGTCACCTCCGTGCGGCCCGTCCCGTACAGCACCTAGTTGATACCCGAACCCGCTACCCGTACCCGTGCTCCTCGCACACCGTGCACGTGCTGCTAGGCGTTCAACCGCAACTGGGCACCTGTTCCACCGCGGTGGTTCAGATGCTGCTTGGTGGTTGCTGCTTGTCAGCTTCAGAGGGGGCCCCTTGCTGGTGTTCCCACGCCCTGTAATGGGGTTTTACAGGTGTACCCCTTCAAGGGGGGCTCTGCACATGGTTATGCACTTCAGGCAGATAGGGGGTGTGTCAAAATAGATTTATATCTATTTAGTATAATCTGCCTGTAGTGTAGCTGTTGTGCAATTCCTTTGTATGGTGGTGCACCTCTTTCAACTTTGTTAGTTTGCTATATGTACCTTGTGTGCTATAGTGAACTCACCCATTCTTCAATCCTCCTTGTCACAAACTACTCGACACCCGCTTGGCCTAGGCTACTAAGCCTAGACCCCTAGTAAAACCTGGTTCCTAGTTAACTTATTATTGTAACACCTGTTGCTGGCACTACTCCTTCGTTACTATTTCCACCGCCTGCCCAGTTTAAGCCACAACTACTAACTCACACTCCACTGCCTGCTCCTGCTCCACACACTGCGGTGATAGAGCACTTCATTGAGCGTAAAGAGCCTGCGTCACATCCTATCACGCCTATCCGTTCTCACTGTGCTGTGCGTCTCCATCCTCCATCTTTCTCTGGCACGCACATCATAGCACTTCGTCCTTCCTTCATTCTACAGCGCGTTGTCCTGCCGTCGCCTCCCGCGTCTTCTCATACTCACGCCTGACCTTGAGTCATACCTTGCCCGTACTGCCACTCCGACTGTCACTCGTCTTCTTGCTACGGTTGTGTCTGACCCCTCCATTGCTGCTGCTGCGTCTGCCTCAGTTGCTGAGCTTGTTCACCTTGCTGCCTTGTGCCGCCTTGACTACGCTACGTAACGCACTAGCTTTTTGTAAAGGTGCGCCGAAGCAAGTGCAACAGAGACGCCGGACGTGTGATCGAACAGTGAGACTCCGCCCCTAGAGTCGCACTGCAGAAACAGCTGCAGGTCATCGACCCAGACCTCGAAATGAACCGCTCGACCCTCAGCATCGAAGGTAAGAACACTAGGGTTAGCCATGGCGGCAGTAGCAGTAGCAGTACCGCAGGGCGGCGCGGCTCGGCAGGGCAGCGCGGCTCGGCAGGGCGGCGCGGGTGCGGCGGTGCGCTTACCAGGGGCGGGAGTAGGGCAGGGCCGCGTCTGGCAGGGCAGGGGCCGCGACGAGCCGGCAGGGAAGGGGCCGCAACGAGGCGGCAGGGCAGGGCCGCGGCTTGGCGGCAGGGCAGGGCCACGACTGGCAGGGCAGGGGCCGCGACGAGCCTGCAGGGAAGGGGCTGCAACGAGGCGGCAGGGCAGGGCCGCGACTTGGCGGCAGGGCAGGGCCGCGACTAGGCGGCGGGAGAGCAGGGCCGCGTCGAGGCCGTGGCAAAGCAGGGCCGCGACGAGAGGCGGCAGGGCAGGGCCGTGCGGGCGGCGAAAGCAGGCCGCAGCAGGCGGGTAGGGCAGGGCCGCGACGACGGCGGAGGCGGGCCGCTAAGGGCGGCGACCACGGCTAGGGCGGGCCGCGACGACGGCTAAGGCGGGCCGCGGCGGGAGAAAGGGGCCTCAACGGGCCGTTGGGGAAAGGCGCGATGGGCCGCAAGGGCAGGGCCGCTAGGGGCGGCACTAGAACAGAGCGCGCGACGGCGCAGGCGAGGCAGGCACGACGCGCGCTTCGTGCAGGGCAGTAAAGAAAAGCTAACACGGTGGGCCCTTAAAAAAATAAAAACGTTCCCACTAGGGAACCTGCTCTGAAACCATGTCACAAAGTAGGAAACGAGAATGACTAGAATCATGACAGTACAAGGTGTGTATAGGCAAAACCTAACAGTGCTATACCCCATAAGGAGTGCCCCACTACAGCCTACAATATAGTTCTGACAATATCTTCACCAAGGCACTTCCGCCTTGTATCAATCAGCGCTTTTGTACTGTTTTAGGCCTTGTGCCTACTTGGTCTCACTTGCTCACTTCTTAACTTTGCTTACACTGTGATCTATATATACTTATACCTGCTTGCTTACACTTGCTAGGTTGTGATCACTGTACTGCTTGTTCGCCTTTATACATAACTCTGCATGTGAACTGGCCTTGTGGCCTTTTGCTTGTGCTCTTTCATTCCCATTCGTTCTTTCTGACACCCTCCGTACAAGCCAGCACCAGTTACGCACCGCGCTAGTCCTGAGAAGAAACGAGGAATGGAATGACTAAGGGAAAGTTGGGTACAAATGCAAACCCTAGGAAAACTGTACCCCATATGTGCTACCCCACTATAGCCTACAGTAGCTATGTCATATAAATCTGACACACCCCCATAGGCAAAGTGGGGGGGAACAAGGGGTCACAAGACCAGTCAAGCAAAGCAAAACAAGCTCAGGGTGGATCACAAAGTCACCACACATTCCGAGCACAAGTTCAAGGCCACAAGGCCAGTTCACATGCAGGATTACATATATATATAAGGCTAGACAAGCAAGAGCAGGTGTATATATATATGCAACAGTACAAACAAGGTCAAGGGGTGAGCAAGTGAGGCAAGGTAGGCACAAGACCCAGCTGAGTACAGAAGCGCTGATGATCACAAGGCGCAAGTGCCTTGGTGAAGATATCAGCAGTGTTGGCCTCAGAGGCCACGTACGCAAGCCGCAGCTGACCACGCTGCTGTAGCTCACGAGCAAGGAAGTAGCGGAGAGCAATGTGCTTCGTTCTGTGCTCCAGTCTCTGCTCTCGACACAAGGCCAGCATGGCCTTGTTGTCTACGTACAGTACTGGAGGAGAACGAGGCGGCTCTCCGAGGTCAGTCAGCAGGTAGGTGAGCCAGCGAAGCTCCTGTGCAGCCATGGCCCCGGCGTAGATCTCAGCCTCACAACTGGAGCCGAGAACAGAAGACGAGCGGGTAGCCCGCCACGAAACAGAGCCGGAACCAAGGCTGAAGGTGTAACCCTGTGACGACCGCTGCGTAGCCTGGTCGTCAGCCCAAGAAGCGTCTGCGTGCCCAGTGAGGACCACTGGACTCTGCCCTCCAAGCACAAGCCCCATGCCCGACGTACTGCACAAGTAGCGCAACACCCTCTTCGCTGCAGCCATGTGCTCCGGTCTGTGTCTCCCAGGAGCAACATAGCGTGCAAGAATGCTAAGAGGGTATGCAAGGTCAGGTCGTGTGCAGGTCATCAGGTACATGAGGCAGCCAACAAGCTCTGGGTACGGGCCACTCGACTCTACGGACTCATCCGAAGGCAGAGCTGAGAGCGAGTGGCGAGTAGGCAGAGGAGTGGCCTGAGGCGAGGAGTACGTGAAGCCGAAGCGCTGAAGGACCTGCTGCACCATGTGTGACTGAGTCAGGGTAATGGTGCGGCGTGCTCTGTCCCGGGTGATCTGCAAGCCAAGGTAGCTACGCAGTTCACCCAGGTCTGTGCACGTGTGTCTCTTCTGCAGCTCGGACTTCACGTGGGCGAGTCCAGCAGTGTCAGCTGTGGCGAAGACCAAGTCGTCGACGTACACGAGGATGTAGAACGGCGGCAAAGAAGTGTCGGTGCGCAGAAACAGCGACGGGTCGGCAGTAGAGGGAGCAAACCCAAGAGCCGCAAGTGTAGTCCTCGGTGTGTCGTGCCACTCACGCGGTGCCTGGCGGAGACCGTAGACTGGCCGCCGGAGGCTCCACTGGGTGCCAGGAGGAAAGGACCCAGTGAAGCCAGGTGGGCGACGCAGCCAGATCTCCTCGTGCAGGCTGCCCTGCAAGAAAGCAGTGCTGAAGTCAAGAGAGTGCAGCTCGTAGTCGCGGTGAGCAGCTATGTGCAGCAGTACCCGAAGAGTGGTCATCTTCGGGGTGGGAGAGAAGGTCTGAAAGTAGTCAACTCCCTGCCGCTGACTGAAGCCACTAGCCACGTAACGCGCCTTGAAGACAGGCGGAGAACCCGGCGGCCGCTTCACCCTGAAAATCCACATGCCACTGACGATGTTCGCCCCAGGCGGGGGAACCTCGTCAACGTAGGTGCCTGTGGACTTCCAAGAAGCCATCTCTGCGTCCATAGCTGCCTGCCAGTAAGAGGAGTAGGGACCCTCTATCGCCTCCGCGTAAGAGCGCGGAGTCGGGATGTCAAGTGCATCCGGGTCTCCCTCAGGGGTAAGCAGTACGGACACGAGATGAGGTGAAGCAGCAGCCAAACACTGGAACTCCTCCTGCCTGTCCTCAAGGACGTCCGTGCCAAGGGCACACTCACCCCCGACGGACGGAGGACAGACAGACTCAGACTCAGCAACAAGACTAGCAGCGTAGTCTAGACGACAGCGAGCAGCAAAGTCGACGAGCTCAGTTACTAGGGCAGACGCAGCAGTGGACTCAAAGGAAGGGTCAGTGACAACAGTAGCAAGGAGACGCGTGACAGTAGGACTGGCAGCACGAAGAGAGTCCGACTCCGGGTCAGGAAGAGCAGGAAGAGAGGACTCAGGAGGAGAAGGCAAAGGGGCACGCAGAGGAGCAGTGGACGGACGCAGAGACATCCGGTGCGTGCCAGGGACAGGAGGAGGACGCTGACGCGAACCACGACCACTAGTGCGAGCAGCACGGACAGGCGACGCAGGGCGAGACGCAGGCTCACGACGCTCAGCAAGACCTCCAGTAGGACCAGTGTAGGGAGAAGGAGCGGGCAGTGGGGAGGCTGGCTGTAACTGTAACTGTGACGGGACAGGCTGGGGACACTCTAAGGGAGGAGGAGGACCAGTAGAAGGCGGGAGACCAAGAACCTGCTGAAGGAGCGGAACGAAGTACGGCCTAGGCCGCGCGGCGACTCCAGACACAGCAGGGACAGCACCAGTACCCCCAGCGGCAGCACCAGCGCCAGCAGCACCTCCAGCTCCAGTACCTCCAGCAGCACCAGTAGCACCCCCAGCAGGACCGCCTCCAGGACCGACAGCAGTAGCCTCAGCGCCAACACCCTCAGCAGCTCCAGCTCCAGTCGTACCCGCAGGCCCAGCAGCTCCAGTACTCCCAGTACGAGCACCTCCGGGACCCGCGGCACCAGCACCCTCAGCAGCCGACGAACCTCCAGCTCCAGCAGCACGCCTCCAGCGCCGGGCAAACCACTCGCGCAGCTCC